AGCTGCCCGAGGCTTTTAGTCCTCCCAAGGGCTGGGCTGAAGGCTGACAAGGTGGGGATATGGTGGTGCTGTTACCAGAGCTGCTGGTGACCTTTGTTTTTGAGGTGTTTTTTGGGGAAAATGTGTTGCTGGAGGCCCGGGAGGGGGTGGTGCAGGTGCCCTTTCCTGGTTGGCATCTGGATTCTCTTCCTGCTTTCCCTCAGTTGCAGCGTTTGCAGCTCCCAGGAAGAGGAATGGCTCTTAGGAAAGCATCCTGCTGATGGCTGTTTGGGGACTGGGGTGGCCCTGGAGCTGCCTGTGAGCTGGGGGTTGGTTGGTTATGCTGCTCCAGAAGTGGGCAGGTAAGCAGGGGAGGAATTCTGCCAGGCCCAGTTAGGAGTATTTTGAGTGCTGGAGAGTGGAAACAGCATAATTTTGATGTAGACTTTCTTGTTAGTGGGGAAGTGCAGCTGGAAAGTGTGTCCTTAAGGTAGCTGGGGGCTGGTTTTGTTGTTAAAGTGTGTTGGGCACCTTCTTTATGAAGAGTTTGGCTCTGTTGCCAGAGGGATTTCTGAGTTGCATTAGAAGCAATCCAAGGAGAAGCTTGGAACAGCTCTTATCCAGTCATGGTTTGCTCAGAACTGGGAAATCCTGCTCTGCTTCCCTGAAAGAAAACTCTAGTTGCCAGGGCTAAAAATCCCTGGCTGTTCTGGACAGCTGAGCTTGCAAACTTAAATATCTTGGAGCTTCCCTTCCTGTTCCAGGGGGTGTGCCTTGGGAATAGGCTGCCCTTGCTTGGGGAGAATGTTTTGTTTTAGTCTGGAGCTGATCAGTTCACAGAATCACCCAATGGTTTGGGTTTGGACCTTCAGGATCATCTCATCCCTACCCCCCTGCATGGGCAGGGACACCTCCCCCCAGCCCAGGCTGCTCCAAGCCCCATCCAACCTGCCCTTCAACACTGCCAGGGATGGGGCAGCCACAGCTTCCCTGGGCAACCTGGGCCAGGCTCTCACCACCCTCACACTCCAGAATTCCCTCCTCATGTCTCACCTCAATCTCCCTCTTCCAGTTTTAATTCATCCCTCCTTGTCCTCTCCCTCCCTGCCCTTGTCCCAAGTCCCTTCCCAGCTTTCCTGGAGCCCCTTCAGGCACTGGAAGGTGCTCTCAGGTCTCCCTGGAGCCTTCTCTTCTCCAGGCTGAACACCCCAACTCTCCCAGCCTGGCTCCAGAGCAGAGCTGCTCCAGCCCTTGGATCATCTTTGTGGCCTTCTCTGGCCCCTCTCCAACAGCTCCATGTCCCTCCTGTGCTGAGGGCTCCAGGGCTGGACACAGCAGAGGGGGGGAATCACTTATTTCACAAGTAGAGAGGCAGAATTCCTCAGTAACCTCAACCATCACCCAGCCTGCACCAGAGAGCTTAGCAGCATGTGCCTTGTTTGGCTCCAGTTTGCCCCAGAAGTTCTCTTATCTTGGTCGTGGTGCTGCAGTCCTGGGGTCTGCAGGAAACAAAGAGAGCCTGAGAGTTCTTGATGGGAGTTTTTCTGCCTTCACTTATCAGTGAAGCATATTTTTAAAGTTCTGCCTCCTGTTAAACTAGGAGCCTGGTTCCTCTGCTGTTACTTGAAACCCCAGACAAATCCAATTGATGGTGGCTGCAGTGACCAGAGATGACTGGAGGTGTGATCTTCTCTTTCTAGGCACTGTTCTCCATGAAACTGGACTCAGCTTCCTTCCAAGAACAGAATTCCTGGGACTTTTCCACCATTTCATGTGGGCATGTCTGTAAATGTCCATTTTCATGCCCAGAAATTTTAAGCTGAGTGTCCTGACCATCTGCTCTGGCCTGATAACAGTATCAGCTTCTCCCTGTGCAAACTGGTGCTCTGTGGTGGTGTTGTTTTTTTAATTTCTTGTTCTTTTTAAGGCAAAAGTGACAGAAATGTGGAAAAAAGGAATGAAATGGATCTGCCAACTCCCAGTCTGGGGGATAAATACCCACAGTGGATGCTTACTCAAAACCAAGAGGGAGTTTTGGGTGATAAAAAGGTATGTTCTCAGGTGGGGACAGCTCAGTTGGCTGTGGAATAAAAACCACTTGGTTTTGTTTAGACCTGCCCCTCTGGTGTTGGGAAGGGTTTGTCCTGTGAACTGTAATTAAATGCAGGTCCTCTTGTGCTGTTTCTACTTAAATTGGCTTGTTAAAGTATTGGATTTTTCCCCATTTTCCTATCATGGATTGGCCAAAGGCTGTTGCTGGTACCTCTGTGGAAATTTCTTCCTGCCAATCCTGAATTTTTGGTGAGGAAAATAAAAATCTGAGGGAGGTTTTGGTGTGTTGCTCTGCCAAGATTGTGGACTGGGTTTGGTTTTTTTTAATCCCCTTTAATGTGAGAGCTCAAGTTGTAGCCTGGCAAGGTTGTTTGTCCCAGTTAAGGTCCCTCTGGCTTCCTTCACTCACACATCTCCTATCTCAGAATGTTTTGCAGCTTGGAGGTATCAGAAGAATTAATTGATTGTCAAAATTGGGCTGGAATTTCCCATGTTCCAAGAATGTGTCCCTTGGATGTTGCTTTTTCTGCCTGTCTGAGCAGTTTCAGTGTAACATTTCCCCCTAGAAAGGGGCGTCCCCCTGCAACATCTGAAGGGGCTTTGACAATTAGAAAACTAATTAATGAGGGAAAAGCAGAAGACTCAGTTCAGCAGTTTTCCTTCTATAAAGGGGGAGCAACAAATTAGCAGCATGGATATTAATTACAAAATGTCAGTGAAGACCAACAAGGCTTTTGTTTGCCTCTCTGCTGTGACTCCCTCCCTCAACCAGCTCCTGGAGGAAGGGTTTTGATTAAACTTTCACCCTTCATTACCTGGAGGGAGATATTTTGTTGTGCAAACATAAAGTGAGCAAAGTCTCTCTCTGTTGTTTGAATCTCTTCTTTCCAGGCCATTTGTTGCTTCTGAAACTGTGTTTAAAGCTGTTTCTGTCACGTGGCTTCTTCAGCTGCTTCTGGGTGACACTTTAGCCACATTTGCTGCTCTTGGCATTGTAGCTTCCCTGCCTATTTTTCACCAACCTGAAGGTTTTTCTCAGGCAGGTGAATGACCAGAAGTTTTGCAGTTCAAGTTGATTTAATCAATAACTTTTGAAAGCTGCTGAAAGGGGTGAAAAATCCCCAGATGCACAGAAGTCTCTACCTCAATGCTGTTGTGACAGAAGCTTTTGGCCTGGCCAGATGTGGATGGTTTCAACAGTGACTTAATAAATTACTGTCCATTTTCTTACTTTCTTCCTCAAATTTCTGAGCTGTGCCAGTGCTACAGCACTTGAAGTAGTGTTGAGGGGGTTTTTGGCACTGTCAAAAATGGATGGTTTTCCCCTGAGCTTGGAAAAGTGATTTCTTCCCACTCTTTGGTGGGAAGAATCCAAACAAACTCAGTGGAGCTGGTAAATTCAACCTCCATGATTTCAGGCTGAGTTCTGGGAGCTGAGCAAAGAAACTGGGGCAGGTTTGAAGACAGAGAAGGGTGTGTTCTCACCCTGCTGGGGGCTGTCCCTGCATGGCTCTGCTGGGGTGTCCTGGGAGCAGCTGGTGCCAGCCTTGCTGGGATGAGGCTTTAAAGCCACGTGCAGCAGTTGTGTGTCACGTCTCTGTGGCCAGGTTGGGGATGGCTGGTGACTGAGCTTCTTCCAAATGTTGTTTGGCAGAAGTCTGCTGCTCAGAGGAGTGTTCTGGAGGATGGGCTGCCCTTCCTAGAGTTCTGTGGCTCCATTGTTTACAGCTATGAAGCCAGTGACTGTTCCCTTCTTTCAGAAGACATCAGGTAACAGCTTTTAGTCTGGCTTTTCCCTCCTGGTTTGTTTTTTTTGGGGGGGGGTTGAGTCCTTTCTGAAATGGACTTGGCTCTTCACTCTGTCCCTTTTTCTGGCTTTTGGGGCATTCCATGTTTCCAGATGTCAGCAGTACAGCCAGAGAAAACATCTGGTCATGTTGACTGTCTTATTATATGTGGCAAATGTCTCTCAGAATCCCAGAACTGCCAGGGTTGGAAGGGACCTCTAGGGATCATCTAGTCCCACTTCCTGCTAAAGCAGGATGGCCCAGAGCACATCCCACAGGGCTGCAGCCAGGGGGGTCTGGGATGGCTCCAGAGAAGGAGACTCCACACCCTCCCTGGGCAGCCTGTCCCAGGGCTCTGTCACCCTCACTGGAAAGAAGTTTTTCCCCATCTTTCCATGTCACTTCCCATGTTCCAGCCTGTGCCCGTTGCCCCTTGTCCTGTCCCTGGGCACTGCTGAGCAGAGTCTGGCTCCATCCTCCTGCACCCACCCTGAGATACTTCCAGGCATTAATAAGGTCTCCCCTCAGCCTTTTTCCTCTCCAGGCTGAACAGTCCCAGCTCTCTAAGCCTTTCCTCATCAGGGAGATGCTCCAACCCCCCAGTCATTTGTTGCCCTCCCTGGACTCTCTCCAGCAGTTCCCTGTCTCTCCTGAACTGGGGAGCCCAGAACTGGACCCAGTTTTCCAGATGTAGCCTCCCCAGGGCAGAGCAGAGGGGCAGGATGACCTCCCTTCACCTACTGGCCACACTCTTCCTCATGCACCCCAGGACTCCATTGGCCTTCTTGGCCACAAGGGCACTCTCCTGGCTGGCTGCTCGCAAGCAGCAATGGAACCTGTTCCTCATTATGATGAGTTATCCCAGTGAAAGGGATCCTTGGGTTAGCATCCCCTTTATGCTACTCAGTTAATAATTTCCTGTTTGGTCTTTGTGGGAGGTGACATCACTGACCCTTGCAGGCCCTTCCAGCAGAAGCAGTAAAGGCTGTGAGGGAAGTTCTTTGCCTTTTACAGAATTCCATGAACTTCAGTGGCTTTCTGGTTGAGTATAAGCTGTAAGAAATCAAGTGTATGGAATCATAGAATGGAGAAGGTTGGAAAGGACCTTATAGACCATCAGGTCCCAACCCCCCTGCATGGGCAGGGACACCTCCCACCAGCCCAGGCTGCTCCAAGCCCCATCCAACCTGCCCTTCAACACTGCCAGGGATGGGGCAGCCACAGCTTCCCTGGGCAACCTGCCTCCATTTGGACATTGAGCCATTGACCACAACTCTCTGGGTGGGGCCATTCAGCCAACCTCTTATCCACTGAGTGGTCCATCTGTCAATTCCATGCCTTGTCAGTTTGGAGACCAGGATGTCATGTGGGGCAGTGTCAAACACCTCACACAAATCCAGGCAGATGACATCAGCTGCTCTGCCACCATCCACCATCCCTGCAGCCTTGTTGCAGAAGGCCAGCAGATGGGTCAGGCATGACTTGCCCTCAGTGAAGCCATGTTGGCTGTCACCAATCACCTCTTAATTTTCCATGTCCCTTAGCAGACTTCCCAGGAGGATCTGCTCCATGATCTTGCAGGGCACAAAGGTGAGACCCAGCCTGTAGTTCCCTGGGTCTTCCTTTTTCCCCTTTTTAAAAACGGGCTTTTTTTCCTTCCTGGAGTCTTCATGTTTGAAGAAAAGGTAGTAAATTAATGAGGTAAATAGATTGTTTCCCCCCATTTTTGCATAGCACAGCTCACTTTCCTGGGGAAAAAAAAAAAGCCCTGTATGAAACTTTCAATGCAGTGGGATAACTAAAGAGGAAGTTTTCAAGGGAATATCACCTCTTGTATCTGGCTGGTTCCTGAGCCTTGCTGTGCTACCATTTGTACTGCAGATCTGCCAAGGTCTGAAGGGTTTCTTGTAGCTCTTGGGACCAGCAGGGATCTTAACCTCCTTCCAGTCTTGATCTTCAGGTGGTGTGTGTGTCCTGTGTGCCTGGGAGGAAAGATGAGCTGGCTGCCACTTTCCATCCCCTGCATGGAAGGTGACTGGGGTGGTTTCAATCCTGGTAGAAGAAGAGCTAAATGTGAAGGACACACATTTCTTTTCAGGCAGAGTTTATCAGAGGGGGCTGCTGTTGGCTTTGATATTGAATGGCCACCATCCTATACCAGAGGAAAAATGGCAAAAATAGCTGTGATCCAAATCTGTGTGGCTGAGGAGAAGTGTTATTTGTTCCACATCTCTTCCATGTCAGGTATTGTACCTCCTCTCTTATTACTTAGAGTTGCCTTCTGGTTCCTAAAAGTTTGAAACTGAAGCCTTGAGCAATAGCTGCTGTTTCCTGCTGGGTAATAAAAATCCTTCCTCCCCTTCCCTGTCTATAATTAAGGGATTTATTGCCTATGTATTTCAAGAGGACCTTAGCCCAGGACTGTGAGCTGGCTTAACAGCACTTGAGGTTCTCACCAGGGCAGGAGGATCTTACATGAGGGTTATTTTTCTCTGTGGATAAGAATATTTTAATTCAGCTTTAAAGAATTCATTTGCTGCTCACATAATGAGCTTTCCATTCAGTGTCAGAATAAACAATGGATCTGAACTTAACAGGCTGTGCTTCTTTTTAATTTGCCTTCAGTTAAGAAAAACAACAATAAACACCTCCAAAAAAAAGAAAAATACTGGCATGTTTTGTCCTCAGGACCTGCATTTGGTGGCATTTGGTTTTCAGGAAGAATGCTGGATACCTGGTGTGGTGCAGCTGTGGGGAGAGGAGCTCAGCAGAGTCTAAATTCATTATGGTTGTGAAGAAAAGCTTCCAAAGGAGGGGAGGAAATAGGAGTGAGGGAAGGAGGCTGCAGTTTTATAACCTTTGGTTTGAATGTTAGATTGAAACTATGCCTGTGAGATGTCTCTGATTTCCCTGGGGTGCCCACGTGCTGAGGTATAATGGCTGTAATTTTAATGTTGGTGTTCAATCCTTTGTCATTTATAGCAAATGGGGTGGAAAATTTAATTGCTGGAGGCCATTCAATCTGGAAAGCATCAAGGTACCAGTGCACAAAAGAGAGAGATTGGAGGAAAAGAAGGGAAGAGGAGTCATAAAGAGCTGAAATGCTTTTGTTTCTGAAAGAAGATGCTTATTGTGTTGCTGCTGAGGATGGTGGTGTGTGGGCTCCTGGGTGTTAGAGCAGGGGTTTCCTCTTGAATAATTGCCTAAAATTTCTGGTCTTGCTCAGGGGAGATGCACTCTGAGCTGAGTGAGATGTCAACTTTTATGCAGGAACTGCTTATTATGCAGAATACATTGGATCTACAGAAACGTAGATGTTGGCAGAACCAGCCAGTTGGGTGAGATTTAAGCCTTGTTGCAAAAAACCCCAGGTTTTCTTCTGCAGGAGGAAGAGTGGAGGGTTCTTGAACTGTGTACAGAGGACAAAAATTACATATATTAAGTTTTCTATTTCTTTTTTTTTCCCTCACCAACTTGTAAGAAAATGTGGCCTGTTCCTCAGATTCTAGGCTGTGTTTAGTCTTGAACTTCAACCTTTTTAGTTCTTAGAGCCACTTTTGCAGAAATGAGGTGGTGGGAATGGAGCACAGGTCCTCTACTGGCAAGTCCTCATCCTTGAAGGTTTTCATCCTTAGGTGAAAATCCCCTGTTCAGTAAGTCAGCTGCATAGGTTGCAGGCTTTTCTGCAGCTCACTTGTATTTACAGAGCAGTTTACCTGTTGTCTGGTGGCTGAGGTGCTTTCACAGCCTTTTCCTTGGGCTACAAATCACAGCACCAAGGCTACTACAGCTCGTGGGTGTTTTTGAACAGCCTTTTTTCATGTTTAGAATTGGACCTGCAGCCTCTCAGCTGATTGTGGCTGTCTGGGATGTCAGTGGTAGCCATGAAAGCATGGAGATGGTTGTGTAAAAATGAAATCAGTGATGCCCTGTGCTTCTTGAATTATATAAATACATATTCCAGGAGTGGAAAGGGTGAAGTTTGAGATCAGAACAAAGCCAGATACTATGTGTTTGTGCAAAATCCTGTGTGTTTGAAGGTACTAGAGTTACACTGGGGATTAATTCCAGGTATCCAGCTGTGGGTTCCTGAAGGTGTGTATTTAAATAAGATGCTCTGAATTTTAAATGGCAACAAAACCAGAGGGGAGGAGAAGGCACCTCTAGTCCAAGGATGAAGTGTCTGTGGCTGTTCCCTCCTGTAGAAACCCAGCTGTGAAAGGTGCCTGCTTTTATTCAGCCCTGTGAACTTGAAAATACCCTTTGATCCAGGATTGTTGTGCCATCAGGTGGGGATTCATCAAAATACAACATCTGTACATTCTGGAGTGTTTGTTCTTACCAGGCTGACTTGCCTGGGCTTGGCAAAGGATCTGGTTGGCAAATTCCCTTCTCCACATGTGACTGTGGGACCAGCCCAGCACTGAGCACCATGTGCCTCCACAGAAGCTGTTTTCCTGGTGCTTCCCTGTGCTTACTCTTTAAGCTGTGTCCTGGGTATGTGAAATAGCAAGAACTTGGAAGGAATAATGTGGAAAATGGTGAAATAATATTGCATTGGGTTTCATGAGTAACCAATTCTGACCAATCATCTTTTCCAGCCAGAGGTTGCCTTTGTGGTGTGGTTTAATGATGAGTGAGATGAATTAAGGAAGGGTTAATGTTTTGATTTGGCTTGTTTTCAGATGGGAAATGAATTGGCATATTTCAGAGGTTGCCTTCATGCTCCTCTGCAGATGGGACTTGACAACCTGTTGGTGTTGCTGGTCATTCTGGAGTGCACAGGGTCACACAAGCAGAGCAACTCTGGGGGCTTTTCCTCTAAAAACCCAGGGTGTTTTTTTTTCTTTTCCATTAGCCTTTCTGGCATCTTCCAGTATTTAGTTTCTCATGTTTGGGCTTAATCTATTTTAGGTTTTCCCAAGGGACTCAAAAGGCTGCTGGAAGATGAAGCAATTAAGAAGGTTGGCGTAGGAATTGAGGGAGATCAATGGAAGCTGATGAGTGACTTTGAAATCAGACTGAAGAGCTTTGTGGAACTGGCTGACATTGCTAATGAGAAAGTAAAGCTTCAAACCTTTTTGTTGTGGGAGGGGATCTGGTTGTTGTGCTGTACAAAAGGAGGCCTCTTTCTCTTCACAGGAGTGAAGTTCTGCTAGTAAGGGGATGCTGTGGAATAAAGCAGAGATGTTTTGTAACTTGAAAGTCCCTCCTTGTGGAGGTGTTTGCCACATGAGCTGGAGCTGTGGAAGTACCTTTGTTTCCATGACTGATGTTGGTGTTGTCTCTGCTCTCATGGTGTTGCATTTGGCACAACCTGAGCTCCAGTTCAGCTGGGTTTTGGTTAGATACCATTTGATATCTGTGCCATATTCATAGAAGGATGGAATGTTTTGAGTTGGGAGGGACCTTCAAGACCATCCAGTTCCAACCCCCCTGCATGGGCAGGAACACTTCCCACTAGACCAGGTTGCTCCAAGCCCCATCCAACCTGCCCTTCAGCACTTCCAAGGAAGAGAGCAAAAGCTTCATTACCTTCCAAATCCTTCTGCCATTCTTATTTCTAGCTTTGCTGCCTTTTGTGTCTGCAAGGGTTTTCTTTACCTGTGCTCAGTCTCTCCCTGCACTTCTGTGCATGTTTTAAATTTGTTTGGTAGGAAAGCAGCAACTATTAATTGTATGCCCAGAACCATGCTGCTTACACCTTTGTGCTTGATCTACCCTATGTAATTAAGTCACAGTGGGGGAGAGAGGAACGTGTTGTGTCATCAGCATTTGGGGCAGTGCTACCCATGTGAGCCACCTTCAAGTTTCAGTTCCTGGTGGGTTAGAAATTGTGCAAATTAAACTGTTTTGCTGAAGCAATAGAAGGAGCTATTTTGTTTCAGACTTTCCTCAGTGCCCACCCCCCTCCCTTGATTTTTATCCCAGTATCTGACCCCAAGAGAACTTGTTATGAAGACAAGCAGTGTGAGCTCTGATAGCAGCTCTCAAGGCTTCTGCTAAGGAGAAAACAAACCAAAAATAAACTTGAAAGTGAAGCTTGAGAGAAGAAACAATAGGGTGTATATAATGGCACAGTGTGGGGGGGATGGGCTGGGGGAACCTGAATGAACAGCTGGTAGGTTTTTGAGACCAGATTGAAGGGGGTGAGCTGCTGCTGCTGTTGGGCTCAACAGTTCTGCATGCTTTGCAAGTGCTTGTCAGTTGGAATTAGCTGAAGGCTTTTGCCTTGTGAGCCCTGGGTCCTTGGAGTCTGAAGGAAAGCTTCCCAAACTTGCTCTTCAGACAATAGCTTGTAGCAGCTGTGACTGGTGAGTAGGATTCCAAAAGCAATTAAAACCAGCAGTGTGGTGGGGTGGCTTCTAGAGGCTTCTGCTGAACTGCTTCCCAGCAAAGAGTGGTGCTGAGCCTGGGCTGGAGCTGAGCTCATCTGCTTGCAATTCACCTCAGGCTTGCAGAAGATGACACAAGACTTAAAGGCAGGCTTTTAATATTCCTGTGTTGGTATCCAATAAATTCCTGGTGTTTAATACTGAGTTTCTCTAGTTAAAAAGACAAAAGGATCCTGGGAGGAAAAAGGAATTGCTGTTTTAAGTCTCATTTTATCAACCTGGAGACATATATTGTCTGGTTTTGGTAGTGTGACAATACCCCCTCAGGTGGAATGGACTCCCCTGCTCCTAATGCCATCTCTCCAGCTTGGCAATGCAGGAATGTCCTCTGACAGTTTCAGGGCAGGGAAGTAGAACTGTTGAATGGCTGAACTACCTTCTCACATCATGAGAGCAGAATCTGGCCTGGAGAACAGTCACTGCTTTGAGAAACTGGTTTGTTCTGCCAACCCCAAAATTCTCCCCTTCTCAGGAGGGACTAAGTACACTTTGCCCTTTCAAGCAATACATTCTGCCAGCTCCAGTTGCTTTCCCCTTTAAACAAGTCCTCTGTTTTTTGCTGTGTGGTTGTTGTTTTTTTTTCCCCACAGCTGAAATGCAAGGAGACCTGGAGTCTAAATGGCCTGGTGAAGCACCTTTTTGGCAAGCAGCTCTTGAAGGATAAGTCCATCCGCTGCAGTAACTGGGAAGAGTTTCCACTCAATGAGAAGCAGAAGTTGTATGCAGCCACAGATGCCTATGTAGGTACCAGGAGCAATGACTATTCCACCCCTTTCAAGAAATCCCTTCCCTGGTGTGCTGTTCCCTGCTGGTTTTAGTGCCTTTCTGCTGCAGAATGTAAGGAACATAGGGAGACTCAGAGGTCTTCTCTGGATATGGGGTGTTGTGATGTGGAAATGCCACCAAGTAGGTTGCTTGGCCAGTTCCTGGTCTCTCTGAAGTTTTTGAACCTCAGTGTTCATCCAGAACTTCAGGGCATCTTCTCTGTTGGAGGTGGTGCTGCTTGTGCCTGGCTCTTGTTGGTGAGATCACTTGAAGAGGATTTTGTGGTGAGTGTTTTGGGTAGAAAATGTAATATATAAGGGGGAAAAAAAAACCCATTTCATGGCACCCTTGAGGCTGCTGTCAGGTCCTCACCTCTTAAATGTTTCCTGGTGTTGCAGGATTTGCCTTTTTAGTGAAGCCTCTTCACAGAGCAGAGCTCCTGGAAGTTCTGCTGGGCTCCAGATGTGCCAGGTACCACAGGCACCACCAGGTGTGTCTGAGGAGTGGCTGTTTGGGCTCACTTTTCGTTGCCACAGGGAAGTGAGTTTTGATGGAGCAATTAAGTGAATTTTACAACTGTCTGTGAGGAGTAAGCTGGAGTTCTTGCAGTGTCATCATCCCCTGTAGGTGTAAGATGGCTTTTTTTATACAATACATTTTAAATGCAATAATCACTGGGGGAAGAGTGGGTGCTTGTTTTTTGCTTCCTGTGTCTGCTCTTCTGGGTGAGTTTTCTACTGGGTTTTTTGGTCATCCTCCTTAAACTGTTTGTTCTCATTAGAAAAAGATGTGCTAAATACAGTGTGGGAGGTAAAACTGATTCAGGAACTCTGAGGGAACACAACCTTCTCCAGTGGTTAATGCAGCAGAATCACAATATGGAGTAACTGAAAAGAGTCATTTAGTTGCAGGAGATTTTTTGCAGCTCTGTGGGAGTCTCTGCTTTTTCACCATGTGACGGGTGTAGTTTTCCTGCCATTCCATGAAGGGCTTTGCCAAGATGCTGCTGGGTTCTGCCTGGGAGAAAAATTATTCTTCCTGGGAGGAAAGTAAAAGCCCTTCAGGCTTATATTTCTGTAACAAGGGTAGGTGGAAAAAGGGCAGTGGGGCGGTGGGCTGTGTTTTCTTTACTGACTCAGGAAACCTTGCATGTTCTAGTTCATTACAGTGTGAAACTGGAGGGTTTAGCACCTGTGAATCCCCAAAGTAGGAAGGAAAGGAGCTTTGTTTTTGGGACAGGTGTTGCAGCTCTTCCCAGGTGATCCTTCTTTCTTGCTCTGCTCATCTGGGCTGCCTTTGGGAGCCTCCCAGGAACACGGGGAGGGAGTCACTTGTTTCTCTTTATTCCCTCTTTCAGGTGCTTGAATGTGTGTAGGCTAATTAGCACATTCCCAGCCTTAGGCTGCATTTTCCTGGTAGAGCTTCTTATTCATCTCAAGGGAAACATTGAGCACACGGATTCTATCTTGGTAGGCTCACAGCTGATCTCTTGGAGCACAGAGATCTGAATGAGGTGGAGCAGATGGTGAGACTAGGAGAAGAGTACTTGGAGCTTTCTCTTTTGCAGCTGACTTCCTAAGATAACCCTGCTGGGATCTAGAGGAGAGTACCCACTAGGATGTGGAAACGTTGCCTCCTGTGAAACAGGCCCTGGGGGTGATGAGCAGTGCAGGAAGGCAGACCATGGACTGTGGGATGGCATGAGCCAGCAGCTCAGGTGTCCACCATGTGTTTGTGCCATGGTTTGCTGAATTAATGATGGTTTTTGTTCAGTCTCTTAAGATATTGTTTCTCTGCAGGGTACTGAGTGCTGTTTTTTTCCCCCTTTCTTTTCCAGGCTGGCTTCATAATTTACCAAAAACTGAAAAATATGAATGACAGTGACCAGACACTCTTTTGTGTAAGAAGAGGTAAATGAAACCTGCAGGTATAAGGAAGGCATTTAATGTACAATTGAATATTCTATTCCCCAACAGGGTTTTTCATAGCACCTTTGTGTCAGCCTTGTCTGGCTTCTTGGTGATGAGGGATGGTTTCCAGAGAGAGCAGGCTGAAAAAGATGTTAAGGTGACCTGGGTTATGTACTGGGTAACTCCTTGGTGTAAGAATGCAGTCTTGCTATGGTGCTTGTTTCTGCTGTCTGCAGAGATGGTAATAATTCCTTCTGTCCTTCCAGCTTGTTTCTGGAAACACTTCAGTGAGTTAATATCAATACTGCTGATGCAGGGACAAAAATCTCATTGAAATAGTAAGAGCTGCCAAAAAATAATACATATTGTGAAGTAATGCTTTGCTTGAGGCCTATAAATCAGACCCACACTTCTTAGAGCAGCTTAGCATTATATTCTTGATTAGAAAAGGGATTCTGAAGTCTGAATTTTTGTTCAGTGCTGTGCTTCAGAAGGAAATTGAAGTATTGCATGGAGCTTATGGCTGAAAAAGAGGCAGGGGGGAGCTTATTTCTTTTTTGTACTGGCTGAAATTTAACTTCTCTGTCTGAGGCAGAAGAAATGGCACCTCTTAATGAGGTGGAATTTCTTGGCTTTGGTTTAGTCAGCAGATGTGTTGGCAGTTCTTTCTGGAAGCTGGAGGGTGTGCTGGGGAAGGATCACACTGTTGTGGTCCTGTTCTGGACCCTGCTTGCCCAGAGCACGTGCACTGGGCTGCTGGTAGAGATGTGATGCTGAGGTAGGTGGAAGCTTGGCCTGATTCTGTGCACCTGGTTTCTAAGCACTGAGAAAAGCTGTCTGATCAGCCATGGAGCTTGTAGGAATGCAGTGGCTTGAATGGAGCTTCATTGTGTAGAAATGAAAGCACAAAAACAGGCTGGGGGGAGAATGGATTGAGAACAGTCCTGAGGAGAAAGAGTTGGGGGTGATGTTGGATGAGAAGCTCAACATGAGCTGGTATTGTGCCCAGAAACCAACCCTGTCCTGGGCTGCAGCAAAAGCAGCTTGGCCAGCAGGGCCAGGGAGGGGATCCTGCCTCTCTGCTCTGGTGAGACCCCACCTGCAGGGCTGTGTCCAGCTCTGGAGCCCTCAGCACAGGAAGGACATGCAGCTGTTGGAGAGAGTCCAGAGAAGGGCACCAAAGATGGTCCAAGGGCTGGAGCAGTTCTGCTCTGGAGACAGGCTGGGAGAGTTGGGGTGTTCAGCCTGGAGAAGAGAAGGCTCCGGGGAGACCTTAGAGCAGCTTCCAGTGCCTGAAGGGGCTCCAGGAAAGCTGGGGAGGGACTTGGGACAAGGGCAGGGAGGGAGAGGACAAGGGGGGATGGATTGAAACTGGAAGAGGGAGATGTAGGTGAGACATGAGGAGGAAATTCTTTGCTGTGAGGGTGGTGAGAGCCTGGCCCAGGTTGCCCAGGGAAGCTGTGGCTGCCCCATCCCTGGCAGTGTTGAAGGGCAGGTTGGATGGGGCTTGTGCAGCCTGGTCTGGTGGGAGGTGTTCCTGCCCATGAAGGGAGGTTGGATCTAAATGATCCTGAAGGTCCCTTCCAACCCAAACTGGTCTGTGGGTCTCTGATGTTAGCCCTCAGTTACTGTGCAGTAACTCTGGTGCCTCTTACAGATGACACGAGCTCAGAGGGTGTGAAGGAGCACTTGACTTCCCTGGCTGAAGACATGAAGGACCTGGCTTCTCTCATTCCTGACTCTTCTGGACAGCATGAACATTTGCAGAGGTTAGACTTTTGCCAACCTGTCTCTTACCTTACCTGTAAGAGCAGGGTTTTTTTGCTGATCCCTGAGGTGCTATGCAACAAAACACAGGTGTGTGAACAGCCCTCTCTGTTGTTTGTGCCTCCTTTTCCAAGGAAGGAAAGCAGAGTCCCCTTGATGAGAGGACTGTGTCTTTATAGGCAGGAACACAGGTTCTCACTGCTCTAATTGCAGTGGGTTTGGTACTGAAGTTGGCTGAATCTGTTTCTTCCACAAAGAAGGGGAAAGCCCAGGGTGGTTGTGAATGTCCCATCCCTGGCAGTGTTGAAGGGCAGGTTGGATGGGGCTTGGAGCAACCTGGGCTGGTGGGAGGTGTCCCTGCCCATGCAGGGAGTTGGGACTGGATGATCTTTAAGGTTCCTTCCAACACAAACCAGTCTGATTCTATGAAATATTCACAACTCTTGGAGGACTAGAGGTCTGGAGAGTTGGTACAGGTATGGGGACAATACTGCAAAGGGTGGTTTTAGAGAGTCTTTTATAGGTTTTACTTCAGTGTAAAGAAATGCAGTTTTCTTCTCCCACAAGTGGAAGGCAAATAGCGTGTGAGTGATGAGGCTTCATATGTGAATTTTTGGACAAACTCCCTGAAGAAACAGGTTAGAGTCCTCAGCTCTGCTTGTGGCTAAGAGAGGTGTAGTCACTGCATTTTGGTGTAACTTTCTTGTTTTGCCTTCTAGGGCTGCAGAAATACTGGCTGCAATATCAGAGAATGTAAAGGCCTTAAAAAGGACACTGTTTGGTTCAGACTCTCCATCTGCAGCAGAGAGGAGCTGTGGTGCCCCTCCAACAAATCTGGAAGCAGAGTCAGCAAATGCTGAAGCACAAAAAATTGACATTCCTGACTTTTCTAAAGAGCTTGAAGGTGACTTCATCTGCTCTGATGCTACACTAGCTGCCCTCTGGGAGGGAGGTAATGAGGAGGCAGAGAGAGGTAACACTGTTGTGGGAGATGGGGCTGTTGCAGCCAGCTCTGAGGACAAAGCAGGCAGAGATGACTTCATGTCACTGGAAATAACAGAGCAAGAACTTCAGATCTTGGAACATCAGGCTGCAAAGGAGCTGGACAGTGAAGCTGCACCTGAGGTAATGAGAAGTCCTTGTTAATCTTGCACACTCAGCAGAGGAAATGACCTCCTGAACTGCCCCCAAGATTTCAGAAAGTCCTGTTCCTTAGAGAATCTTAAGGTGGGCTGGGAGAAAGGCTGAGGGTCTGGAAGGTATTTGTGGAACTAGTGAAGCACTGAGCTGCTCTTCAGCCATGCCCTGAACACAAACTCAAGAGGGTCTAAGCAGATTTCCCCTTTTGGTTGCTAATGTTACCAAAGAATTTCCTGTGTACAGGGACTAATTCTGCAGTAGAGCATCTCCAAGTTGGTTATGAATAAAAAGCAGATCTTCCAAAGGATCTGTAAATAGCAGTCCTGCTGAAAAAATATGGGTTGATTCCTCTTAACTCATGGTAGGGAGGGGATCCTGCCCCTCTGCTCTGATCAGACCCCACCTACAGGGCTGTGTCCAGCTCTGGAGCCCCCAGTGCAGGAGAGACATGGAGCTGTTGGAGAGGGGCCAGAGAAGGGCACCAAAGATGATCCAAGGGCTGGAGCAGCTCTGGTCTGAGCCAGGCTGGGAGAGTTGGGGCTGTTCAGCTTGGAGAAGAGAAGGCTCCAGGGAGACCTTAGAGCAGCTTCCAGTGCCTGAAGGGGCTCCAGGAAAGCTGGGGAGAGACTTGGGACAAGGGCAGGGAGGGAGAGGACAAGGGGGATGGATTAAAACTGGAAGAGGGGAGATTTAGATGAGACATTAGGAAGAAATTCTTCACCTTGAGGGGGGTGAGAGCCTGGCCCAGGTTGCCTAGAGAAGCTGTGGCTGCCCCATCCCTGGCAGTGTTGAAGGGCAGGTTGGATGGGGCTTGGAGCAGCCTGGTCTGGTGGGAGGTGTCCCTGCCCATGCAGGGGGGTTGGATCCTGATGATCATTAAGGCCCCTTCCAACCCCAACCATTTTATGATTCTAATTTCTTTCTCCTGGTTTTGTCTGTTCCTACAGGGCCTTGTTAGATCCTCATCTCTCAGATAACTAACCTCTCCACTTGGCTCTGAAACCTGTTGTTTAGACTTATGTGGGGAAGAAAAGACCAGTTTCCCACATCTGCCTATTAAAAATAAGCTATTTTTGGTGACAAGTAAAAGCCTACCTAGAAACAGGCTGTAGGTTGTCCAGAGGTTGAATGGTTGTAGACAGAGAATGTTGTTGATAGAAGACACTTTTTGTTTCCTTAGGAGGCCTGTTCCACAGATGATGGACAGAATATTTCCTCTGTCATTGAAAGTGATGAAGAACTGGAAATGGAGATGCTCAAAGTGAGTTCCTCAGGGGTTTGTTTACCTTTGGTGTTGTAATGATGATGCTCTTGGGTCACAGGTGCTGAGGGACCAGGCCTGTGGGTCAGTTGCTTCATGACTGTGTTTCACAGGCCTCAGGTGGTTTTACTGCTGTGACTTTTATTGCCTGAAAAGGTTTAAATGTTGAGTCTTGCTCTTCTTTGCCCTGGTTTGTTTTTTTTTCCTGATCCCTCAGTGCTGAGTAAATTCAGTCAAATGCTCATTTCCAGCAGAGCAGTCAGAGGTGTTTGGGTGCTTGTACCCATGGGAGGGTTAAGGCTGTTGCTGATGTGTGAGTAGGAAGCTCCCAAGGTCTGGGGAAAAAAAGATGGATTTTCTTCTAGGGAAGGACCAGGTCCCTTCAGGATGGTTCTCAGTGCTTCATGTCAATCTTCTGTAAATGCAATTTGGGTCTAAAAAGCTGATTTGAGTAGAGTGGGTTTAGTCTTGCTCTGAGCACCATGTTTTGGGAACTAGGAATGACATTGGGATCCCATCCCTCCTGGTTCTTGTTTCAGCCCCTTTCACTTCTCAGTGAAACTTGTGCCTTCATCTAGTTGAAAGTGGGGAAAAAAACCCCAACAACAAACAACCCAAATCCCCAACCATTGATTGTATAAAATAAGATGTTCATGTCTTAACATTTCTAGGACCTTTTTGCAAAGGAGAAACAAAAGCTGTTGAAATGGTATCCAGGGAAAGGAATTTGAATTTGATCAAGTAGTTTGACCTGGGCCTTTTTTTGTGCCATAAGCAGATCAAAACTCATGTGTCCCTATGTCATGTTACCTGAGAGGTGCATTGTATCATCTACCATGATCCAAAAGAACTTTTTCTCCTGATTTCTCAGTCTTTAGCAGGTGTAGATGATTCCAAAGGAGTTTTAACTGAAAGTGAGTCCAAGGAAGCCAGGAAAACTCCTGACACAGAATTGAACATTATACCAGATGGTGATGAAGATGGTGTTGAGGAAGAGGAGGAGGAATGTTTGGGTATGTGTTAAATTGCAGTGCATGATTAAATTAAAAAAGCCTGTCTAGAGAAGCAGATGTGGAAGCACAGCAACATTTTGTGCTTCTTTTCTTAAAGCAGGAAGTTCAAGCTCATCTGGGTTGCAAAGCAGTGCTGGTCTGTGTGGCAAGAGTTAAAAAAGGACAGGTGTCCTGGACAAAACAGAGTTGGGCTCCTGCCATGACCAGTGGGAATTATTAATGCTTAATAGGAGTAAAACTGCTCTGGGGGTCTGGAGGGGACCTGTTGATGCAGCAGAGGGAAAGGTGGTACCTCCACTTGTGTTTGTTGTCCTGCTACTGCTGCTTCATGGCAGAATTCTTAAGAAGTTCTGGCTTGGGGCTGATCTTGACCTAGTACTTTGGGGCTGGCTCTGTGGAGACAAGTCAAATGAGGACAAGGGGCTGAAATGTGGGAAGAAATACACCTTGACTTGATTGGGCTGTCAGGGTATGAAAGCTTTTGTCCCTGATGGTGTGTTAAGTTAGGCTGTGGACCTTGTGTCTGGATGCAACAGCATGAGAGAGGGGAAGAGCTGCTTGCTGCTTCCAGGGAGAATGTGGGCTCCTGGGTGGTGAGGGATGGGTTGGTTGGTCCTGTGCTCAGTTGCTCATCCTAAACAGCAGGCAGGCTGTGGCAGGGGGTGTCTGCTGGCCTGGCCAGACCACAGCTAGGTGGAAATGTGGTGCTATCTACTGCTGAATGCTGGTGGACGATGACCAATCTTGATGAGGTTTCTTCAGACTTCACAGCAAGATGAGGATCACCTTGTAGGTTTCTTTTGGGCCAAGACTTGGCCACTTGCAGTGTCAGTTATTGAGGGGTGGAACTTCAGTAGGGTTATAAAGGCATGTCCAGTAAAACATCTCCAGGACTTTGAACCTGTTCCAATTCAAGCAGCTGTGCTTTACAGAGCCTATTGCTTGGATCTTCTTCATCAACCCGTATGTTCTCCTCCTCCTGGAGGGCCACTGAGCAGCCTGTTTGCCCTTCTAATCCTTCTAGCCTATAAATACGTCGAGTTTGATGTCTCTTTTTCACTGGGGTTGCCCAAATCTGAGGTCCTGGGCATCACTAACCATGAGCAGACACCTTTGTCAAGACAGTGATTCATCTTTTGAAAATTTCATCACAGATGAAGTTTTTTCCTCTCTCCCACTAAAGATCCATCATTGCCAGTACCAACTGAAAGCCACATCAGGTGTCTGAAGACATATTTTGGGCATTCTTCTTTTAAACTGTAAGTATATTCTGTTACACTGTACACTCCAGGATTAACTTTCCATGCCTTCTTCCAGCTTGGATGACTTTTATTGCTACTCTTAAAGCCACTGACAAAAATCAGCAAGATCTAGACAGGCTGGAGGGCTGGGCAAAGAGGAACCTCATGAGCTTCAACAAGAATAAGTGTAGAGTCCTGCACCTGGGGAGGAAAAACACCATGCACAGGTATAGATTAGGGATTGACCTGCTAGAAAGCTGCCCCATGGAGAAGGACCTTGGGGTCCTGGAGGGCAAGAAGTGATCCATGGGCCAGCAATGTGCCCTTGTGGCCAGGAGAGCCAGTAGAATCTTGGGATGTATTAAGAGCAGGGTGGCCAGCAGGGCAAGGGAGGTTCTCCTTTCCCCTCTGCTCTGCCTTTGTAAGAGTGTTGTGTCCAGTTCTGGGCTCCCCAGTTCCAGAGTCACAGGGATCTACTGGAGAGAGTCCAACAGAGGCTACAGGGATGATGAAGGGGCTGGAACACTTGTCATATGGGGAAAGGCTGAGAGACCTGGGGCTGTTTAGTCTGGAGAAGAGAAGACTGAGAGGGGACCTGATGAATGTCTGTCAATACCTGCAGGGTGGGTGTCAGGAATGGGCCAGTGTCTGTTCAGTGGTGCCTGGGACAGGACGAATGGAAATGGCACCAAGTGACAACACAGGAAGTTCCACCTCAACAGGAGGAGAAACTTGTTTGCTGTGAGGGTGACAGAGCCCTGGGCCAGGCTGCCCAGAGAGGTGGTGGAGTCTCCTGCTCGGAGACTTTCCAGACCCACTTGGACACGTTCCTGTGTGACCTGCCCTGGGTGTTCCTGCTGCAGCAGGGGGGTTGGACATGATGAGCTTCAGAGGTCCCTTCTAACCCCTGTGGTTTTGTGAAACTAGGACCTGTGTGAAATCCCTAGGGGAAAAATAAAACAGCTTTGACCACAGTAAAGTGTCAAAATAAATCTTGGAGTTTTACCTACAACACTGTGTGTAACTCACAGTAGAGGATGAGCTTCTTGAGTCTTCTGATGGCACCCCTGTGGTCAGAGCTTTGGTGTCTCATGTCTAGTTCAGGTCTTCTCTTATGGGAGACACTGTTTTGTGATCTTCTTTGAGTGACAGCCTCAAATGCTGACTTAGTCCTGCTGGTGTGACACTGGTGGGACTGGCTGCAGGAGCACTGGAGTGGCTGCAGGGAGCAAAGCCCATGCTCAGGCAGCCTGGGGGGTTTCTGTAACCTGACATGGAGCTGGATGTGCAGCTTCACACAACTTGCACCTCATGCCTGGTGGCAAAAATTAAATGTTCCTCTCTGTTTAATTGAAAGGGTCCAGTGGAAAGTGATCAATTCTGTTTTAGAAGACAGAAGAGATAATCTCGTTGTCATGGCAACTGGTAAGTTACCTTTACAACCTAAGAAGCAGTGAAAAAATCTTTTCCATTTTGGGGAGAGGAGGACTCAGTCTTGGTGTCCCTGTGGCTCCACTGAGCAGGTTTCCCTGGTAGAGGTGGTGGAAGCCTGAGCCAGCCAAGCTGGCCACTTGTCTGTCTGCCCTGGCCTTTGTCACTGACCTTGGTGTGGAGAGGGGTATCAGATGGGTGCTACTGCATTTCTCTGTTGTCCCTCTGCTAGCAAACACCACTTCTGCTTTTAGGTCTCCACAAGGTGTTAGGGCTGCCTGGGAAGCTTGATGTTTCACTTCTGCTTTTTTCTTTCTTGAAGGCTATGGGAAGAGCTTGTGCTACCAGTTTCCTCCCGTGTACACTGGATGTACAGGAGTTGTTATCTGCCCTCTGATCTCCTTGATGGAGGACCAGGTGCTCCAGCTGACGTAAGCAACACAGGCTTCCTGACCAGCTGCTGCTGCATTGCCTGGAGAAACCCACCCATCCTGCCTCTGGCACTTCTTGGGGTTCAGGGTTGCAGCTTGGGGCAGCAAACTGTTGGTGTGGCAGTTGGAAAGCAGGTGTTTCTCAAGGAACACGTGGAAACCCTATAAAGGGCCTAAGGTCACTGGGTTTGCCAACTCCCTGAACTGTGGGCTGAAAGTGCAAGGGAGCTGTGCTGGTGGGTGGGGCCTTCCCAGTGCTTCTGGCTTGACAGGCAATTCAAAGGATCACAGACTGGTTTGGGTTGGAAGGGACCTTCAAGATCATCCAGTTCCAACCCCCCTGCATGAGCAGGGACACTGGAAGGTGCTCTCAGGTCTCCCTGGAGCCTTCTCTTCTCCAGGCTGAACACCCCAACTCTCCTAGCCTGGCTCCAGAGCAGAGCTGCTCCAGCCCTGGGATCATCTTTGTGGCCTCCTCTGGACTCTTTCCAGGAGCTCCATGTCCTTCCTGTGCTGAGGGCTCCAGAGCTGGACTCAGCACTCCAGGTGGGGTCTCACAAGAGCTGAGTCAAGGTGGAGAATCCACTCCCTGGCCCTGCTGGCCAAGCTGCTGGTGACACATTCCAGGCCAGGGTTGGTTTCTGGTACCAGCTCATGTTGAGCTTCTCATCCAACATCACCCCCAACTCTTTCTCCTCAGGGCTGTTCTCAGTCTGTTCACCCAGGCTGTATTTGTGCTTGGGTGGAGAATTTTGTGCAGACCAAACAGCTGGAGGAGCTTCAGGGGCTGTTTCAGCCTGTGAGATTTATGTTAAAACTTGCTAGGGCTTCCTTTGGGTCTGAGAAGTGTCATCTCAACAACATGGATCTGGAACCTGTAGGCTATGCAGATCCAAGTTATGGCAGTGGCTTTGAAGATGGTTGGTGTAGGAGGTCTCCTACCACTTGGCATCTTCACTTCTGAGATCTGATGAATGACACTCTTGCATGGGCAGTTCTTGGTGTCACCAAGATGATTCACTTTTGACATTCTTGTCACTGAAGCTGTGGTTGCCATGCTGAGTTCTCTAGTTCACTTCTGCCTTGTCCAACTTAGAAAGAACAGGTCTTTTGTGAAAGAGGGGATATGAAGACTTTATTTTTATTTTTTGAGGAAGAAACATCAATTCCATGTGGTGTTTTCTGCTGCATATCATGACTTTGTGATGAATGGCTGAACAGCCCAAGCTGGCTCCAGAGCCATCTCCTGGACTAGGTATTGGTCAGGAGGGTGTCTCTATGTGTTCAGCTACTTCTTTGGCTCTTCTGCTGTTTCCCTCAGTGGGAAGGGTTTATTCCCTAGCTTCTCAGTGAGTCATTCATTTGGAAGGCTGAGGAGACTGAATTTCTACACCCTCATGCAACTCAGTAATTCCAGTATCTGAAGGGGGCCCTACAAGAGAGCTGGGGTAGGGCTTTTTACATGGGTGTGTAGTGAGAGGACAAGGGGCAATGATCTGAAGCTTAAAGAGGGGAGATTCAGGCTGGACATCAGGAAAAAGTTCTCTCCTGTGAGGGTGGTGAGATGCTGGAACAGGCTGCCCAGGGAAGCTGTGGCTGCCCCATCCCTGGCAGTGTTGAAGGGCAGGTTGGATGGGGCTTGGAGCAGCCTGGGCTGGTGGGAGGTGTCCCTGCCCATGCAGGGGGTTGGGACTGGATGATCTTGGAGGTTCCTTCCAACCCAAACCATTGGGTGAATTTGGGTGCAGTTCTGCCAAGGGCTGAAACATGGAGGGGTGAGGGGGAAGAAGTTATCAAAACAAAGGGCTCTCATCAAATGCAGTGAGTGACTTAAGGGAACAGGGGTTGCAGAAAGAAGTCAGATATGAAGTGGATGAGCTGGTCAGTGTAATTCTTGTATCTGTCATCAAAATGCAGCCCCCTGGTGGGAAGCCAGCAGCTGCTCCCAGATGGCAAGACAAGGCAGACAGTGGAAATGGCCTTTATTTTTCTCCCACTGCTGGTTGCACTTCTCA